ATTAAGTCAAAACTACCCATTGCAGTTCAACAATGTTGTTGAAAACTATTTTCATTTCATTGGTTTGAGATAGTCCATATTTAACCATTGATCTGTATCATACTACTAATCATAACACTCAAGGAACTGAACAGAATCTCTAAGGATTGTATTAACACTTCAGAGAGTATGCAAACAAGCTAGTCCACAAATTCTAGGAAGGTACTAAATCCATCTGAGCAAATCTTAGGAAGCTTCACTTTTATGTGCTCTTTGGTTCCATTTCAGGGCCAGAAAAACACATTTATCACAGACAAATAATATAAAACAAGCATCATAGTATGCCAATATAGGCATGCAGGATTCTTTTATAGCCAAGTGTCATACTATCAGAGTATCTTGATCTACCAGTTAAAGATTATCAAAATCCTGGGCCATCCTTTAACCTAATGTTTTCAAAAGATATTAGGATTTATCTCATCCCCAGCCAGAACGTCAGGCAACTGTTAGGAATTGCAATGCACATATTGGCTGATAAGGATGAAATACTTATGTCTTTCCTTTCTGTTAATTAATTAAACCTCTAGGCCACAGGCTCGTTCTCACTTTTGTCAGCTGTGTTAATCTCCCTTAATTCTTTGCTAGCAATCCAAATTTTAGAAATGTATATGATGTCACAGTTGTGACTGCTGCCTGTGGATGGCTCTAGTTTGAGCTGATACAAGGCAAAAGATTTCTCTCTCCCATATTTGAGTCAACAGGGTGTAACATACAGCATTCTAGATAACTCCTCCCCTGTTTCTTCCCTCCCTAACACAGCTGGCAAAAGAGAGAAAGAGCCTGTGGCCTAGAGGTTTAATACAGCTGCCTAACATGCAGACAGCCCAGGTTTGAATCTCAGAAGGGTATGTCTGGTTGAAAAGAACTAAAGAGTTCGAAATAGCTATTCCAGTTCTCCCTTAATTCTTTGCTAGCAATCCAAATTTTATATATATATATATATATATATATATATATATATATATATATATATATATATATATATACACACACACACACACACACGCACACACACACACACACTTACCATTTGATGTTTTGCAGATGTAACAAGGCTTTATAAGTTTGTTCTCTTCAATGAAACTGTATAACTCAGGTCCTTTTCTTATTCTGCACCCACGCTTGGGTGGTTTGGGGGTCAAATTTACATCAAACAAATCTCCATCAGAGGCTGCCATCTTCAAAAGACTGCTGGGATTAAATCGCTAGCTGTTCAGGCCTGCCCACACAAACTCCCCTGCTCCTTGCAATGACACGCCCTTGAGCATTGCGCATGCCCAGATCACGGGGAGCATGACATGCCCGGCCACGTCCCAAACAAGGCCTAACCCCCTTTTTTACTAGCAGACAGCCAGAAACACGCATGCCCGGAATCGCGGTCCTGACATGCCTGAACAAGTTTTAAAACCCTACTGCAAGGCTGCTTGCCTCTGTGAGCCTGGTTGGCTGCTTGCCTCTTGTGAGCATTTTAATTTCTGTTAATATTCCTTGTCTTTTGCTATAGGGGGGAGGGGGGCAGAATAAATTTTATTCAGGGTGCAAATGGCAAAATACGTGTCTTTAGATTTTTTACAAAGGTAAAAACCAGCTGTGGATTTTAAAAGGGGCTGTGGTTTGTTTGTTTTTTCCCCTGCATTCGAGGAAATGCTTTTAAAGCCACCTAGAAATAAATACCTTTTAGAAAAAAATACCTTTTAGAAAAAAGGGGTTAAATGCAGGCTCTGGCTGCCTTTCAGGGGCTTCTTTTTCCCCAGCTTTTGAGGCACTGATTTTTAAAACTCCACAAAAATTAAAAGCATCGTTAGACTAGAATGATTAGAAATAAAAAACCTTTTTTATTTTTTATTTCACAGCTCCCCAAAGTAGGGCTTGTTTCCCAAAAACACAGGCCTCTGCTAATTATTCACTTTACTTAGCTCTTTTTAGTTTTGAATATCCATAGAATTAGTCTAGGGTTAATAGCTCCCCAAAGTAGGGTTTGTTTCCCAAAAACACGGGCCTCTGCTAATTATTCACTTTACTTAGCTCTTTTTGGTTTTGAATGTCCATAGAATAATCTAGGGTTAACAGCTCCCCAAAGTAGGGCTTGTTTCCCAAAAACACAGGCCTCTACTAATTATTCATTTTACTTAGCTCTTTTTGATTTTGCATGTCCATAGAATTAGTCTAGGGTTAACCTAATCATGTACCCAGAGGATTGACTGCCAATCTTGATGGGATTAGGCCAAAATGTCACATCTGGAGGGTGGGGGCTGAGCACGTCACTTCCGTTTAGGGCAGTGGTTCTCAACCTTTTTGTACGGCGACCCTGGTGATAAGCAGGCGGCGCGCATTTGTGGCGCCGCCCCCTGCGCGGCACGCATGCGTGGCACCGCCCCCTGCATGGCATGCATGCGCTGCGCCGCCCCCATGCACCGCCCCCTGCGCGGCACGCATGCGCGGCACCGCCCCTTGCGCTGGCTGATGAAAAAAATGGCGGATTGCGTTGTTTGGCGACCCCCGTGAAATGGTCGTTCGACCCCAAATGGGGTCGCGACCCACAGGTTGAGAACCGCTGGTTTAGGGCCATGACCTGTTGACGTAATCAGCACGTGGGTTTGTTTACTTTGATGATGTCACTGATCAAAAGTGCTGATAATTTTCATTAAAAAAAGGTATACACTACTTCTACTGGTGGAATAGACAACATTACCATCAGATGGATTTGTAGCTGGCTAACAAACCATACTCAACGAGTAGTCCTCAATGGTACTACATCCACATGGAGAGAAGTAAGCAGTAGGGTACCACAGTGCTCCATCTTAGGCCCAGTACTCTTCAATATTTTCATCAATGACTTAAATGAGGGAATAGAAGGGGAACTCATCAAATTTGCAGATGACACCAAACTGGCAGATAGCCAACACCCCAGAAGACAAGCTCAGGATTCAAAAAGATCTTGACAAACTGGAACTGCCCTATCCAACAAAATGAGTTTTAATGTGGAGAAAAGCAAAGTTTTACATTTAGGCAGGAAAAATCAGATATAAGTACAGGTTAAGTGAAACCTGACTCAAAAACAGTAACTATGCGAGTGATCTTGGAGTCCTAGTGCAGGGCTTTTCAACCATTTCACAGATTGTACCACTTTTAGGACATGACAATATTTGTGTACCACCAGTGCTTAGCAAGGTGTCAAAAACTTGATAACTAAAAAAAGGGGGGGATTTGGGGTTTACAGATTAGATTCATTTGTTGTTATAGAAGTGGCTAGTTTATAATATTATGAAAAAGTAAAAAGTTGAGGTTCAATGTTAATACTTCCTTCTACTACAACAGAGGAAGTCTGTTCTTTTTCCCTTCTCCCCCTCACTTTCCCCCCCTTTTTCCTCCCCACTGTGTCCTACTATTTGCTTTTGTATTTTTGTATTTTATTCTATAAACTAATAAAATATTACAAACTGTAGAAAAAAAGGAAAAAAGTACCAGTTTTAATTTCTTCGGTGGCTGTTCCTTTACTGAATCACTTTCCCTTTGCACTGACAAATGTATGATGTATTTATCCATGTTTATTAATATGCACCACTACCAGCTAGCTCAGGGATCTTCAAACTTGGTACTTTTAAGACTTGTGGACTTCAACTCCCAGAATTCCTCAGCTGTTCTGTTTCTCACATTGGTAGGCATTGAACGAGGCACAGTAACAAACAGGTACTTCTTTATTCAGCTTCAACAGAACAACAACAAAATGGCTCCACCCCCTTTTATATCTTTTGCAAGGAACAGCGTCAGCCAATGAATGCAACGTATTTTCCCACTCCCATGCATGCTCAGTAAGCCACAGACAGCCTGTCTGGCCCGGGAAGACCACGTGGTCTGCCCAGGTCTCAGTGCAGCTTCCTGCACCTGCTCTGTCAATCGGAGCCCAGGACATAACACCCCTCCCCTCCTGATTCAGGAACAGATACTTAATATTTTAGAATACTACATGTGGCCTCACAATGTTATATTAAAACCAACAATACACAATATTATAGGTCATTCACTTATCAAAATAATAGTAATTGAAATCAGTTACAAGGAACATATACAATATTCCTCATACATTACATCATAGCACAATGAAGTCAGTTCCCCAAAGACATACATAAGCTTTTCCATTGCAATAAAATACAAAAGCATTTATGGTTGCAAGAACAGAAACCTCACGTAGTCCTTTAAGAACTTCGGTGGGCCCTTGGCCCACTCTGATTGTCTCGGAGCTGCTGCAAGTGCCCGATCTGCAAGCTCACCTGCCAGATTCGGCAGGCCGGGACTTTGAGACACATTTGATACAGGTGAAACTAGATCGTGAAGGCTGGCTTGTTCCAGTAGGCCCAACCCTTTGTCCATTTGACTTTGGCTGACCCTTTCCAGTAGGTCCAAGCCAGAGTTCCTTGGTGGGGTGGAATTCCCTGGATCGGCATAAACAACTGGCTGGGAGCACTGTCCCGTTGGCGCAAGGCCTGAGGTAGATGCGGCGTGAAAAGCCAATTGAGTGCAGTGGCCCGTTGGTGCATTGCCCACAGAAGCAAGTTGGTTGAGTACAATGTCCCATGGACGCTGTGCCAGAGTTAGGAGCCGCCTCGTTGGCAAAAACCCCATTTGGTGAATGCAGTGTCCTGCTTTCGCTGAGAGACTGAGATCCACAATCGCAATCGTGGTCCTCCTCCTCCCCGAGGGCAGAGTCAGGAGTGGAAGAGTGGCTAAGTAACCTCCAACGCAGCTGGTCAATGTGTCTGCACAGCACACAACCATCTTAAGGCTACTTTGTATGAAAGTGGCCCAGTAACTTTGCAGACCACCACAACCACCCAAAGGTGCCCAGGTCCATAGCTCCACATCCAAACCAGATCACCCACTTGCAATTTCCTTGGTTCCCTTGACTGTGGCACCTGTGATGCAACCTGATCTGGGTGTAATATATCTAACTTGATGGCTACCCCATCGGAGCTCAGCTGGACTCTTGCCTGGAGATGTGCATGGTGTAGTGCGGTGACAGAAGAAGAAATCTGCCAACCTGTGATGCCAGTTTCCATGGGTGAGCCGTTTCAAGGCTTCTTTTGTAGTGTGAACCATGCGTTCCACTTGGCCATTTGAGGCCGGATGAAAAGGTGCAGAAGTAGCATGCCTAATCATATTCACCCTCAGAAAGGACTGGAACTCCGAGGAGGTGAATTGAGGTCCGTTGTCGGAGGTGAGGACATCTGGGAGCCCGTGAGAGGCAAAAATCCCCCTCAACACCTGGATAGTCCTGGCAGTCATCATAGTGGTCACTGGAGTGATCTCCAGCCATTTGGAGTGACTGTCCACCACAATGAGGAAGAGTTGCCCCTGAAAGGGGCCAGCGTAGTCAATATGAACCCTCGACCAAGGAGCATGTGTGGTATCCCATCTATAAACGGGAGCCTGTGGCATTTCAGGCCGGGACTGCTGGCAAATGTGGCATCCTTGGACCTGGGTCTCAAACTCTTTATCGAGCCCAGGCCACCAGAGGTAGCTGCGTGCAAGCGCCTTCATCCAGACTATTCCCAGATGTCCCTCATGCAAGGAAGCCAAGACCCTAGTCCTCAGTGAGATCGGGATTACTACCCTGCTGCCCCAAAGGACACAACCCTTAAAGGTGGATAACTCATGCTTCCTTTTCCAGAAACTCTGGAAGTTAGTGCCAGGACACATGTCAGGCCATCCTGACAGCACACAGTTCAACACACGTGTTAACGTGTTGTTGGTAGCCATTTCTGTGGCTACATCCCCTGCATTGAGGGGAGACTCAGGCAAATCCTGGATAGCCAGGATGTGATTAGCCAAAGCAGGATCCGACTCTAATAGCTGTAGAGGCAACCTACTAAGGCCGTCAGCGTGGCCCATTTCCTTGCCTGGTTTATGAATCAGGCAGTAGTCGTAAGCAGAAAGGAATATTGATCATCTCAACATTCTAGGAGAGATGATTTGTTCGTTGTGAACATCCCCAGAAGTGGCTTGTGGTCTGTGAAGACCGTGAAATGGCGGCCATACAAAAAGTCATGAAACTTCTTAATGCCAGCAACAATGGCCAAAACTTCTCTATCTATCTGCGCGTAATTTCACTCAGCAGAAGACAGAGTCCTGGAATAATAGGCTACAGGGACTTGTGTCCCATCAGCCCTAAGGTGGCTTAAGACAGCCCCAATCCTGTAAGGGGATGCATCACAAGCTATGCTAACTGGCAACTGCTCATTGAAATGAGCCAAAACAGCATTTGAAGACAACAATGCTTTGACCTCAGCAAAACTCCTTTCGTGAACTTTTGTCCACTTTCATGGAGCCTATTTGTCCAAGGCCAGTATAACGGCTCTGCCACTGTGGCTTTGTGGGGGAGAAATGAATGGTAAAAATTCAGAAGTCCAAGGAAGGCTTGAAGCTCGCTCTTCGACTTGGGATTTGGGGCCCGCTGAATTGCCTTGAGCTTAGATTCAGCAGGATGGATGCCTTCGGCATCTACACGAAACCCCAGGAATTCTGTGGCGGTTACTCCAATTTTGCACTTCTCCTGTTTCAGCTTCAGCCCCACTTGGCGGAAACGCCACAAAACGGCCCGAAGTCTGTCAGACAGGTTTTCGACTGATTCCCCAGAGATGAGGACATCATCAAAGTATGGCCATACTCCCAGAATGTTACGGAGCATTTGCTCCATCATGCTTTGAAAGATGCCAGGGGCTACATTTACCCTGAACTGTAGCCTTCAGACCTTGAAGGCACCCCGGTGGGTCACAATTGTTTGGGCCTCTGCCATGGCATTGTCCACCACCAGCTGCTGATAGGCCTGCGCCAAGTCTAACTTGGCGAAAATGTAGCCTCCCTGTAGAGACGCCAGGATGTGGCTCACTACAGGCACCGGATAAGAGTACTGCTGTAATGCTTTATTTAGTGTGCATTTATAGTCAGCACAAATGCGGACTTCTCCGTTGGCCTTAAGTGCCATGACAATGGGTATTTCCCATGGACTACTATCCATAGGTTCCAAAATGCCTTGCTGTAACAGCTTGTCCAGCTCAGCATTGATCTTTTGCTTACACGCAAAAGACACCCAACAAGGCTTAATCCTGATCAATGCAATGGAAGAGTCTAATCTTAAGGCAATTGGAGGTCCTTTGTAGGCCCCCTAACTCAGGGCTGAACACATCAGCAAATTCATTACACACCACTGCAAGGATTGCCGGTTGCAGACTGTGTAACCCAGTCACCTGAATTCCAAGCGCATCAAACCAATCGAGTACAATTAGACTCGTGCGGTCACTGTCAACCGCGACGACATCCAAAACCCCCTCAAAGTTCCTAAACTGCACTCTGAGTGTGGCCTCTCCCTTCACTCTGACTCAGGAATTCTGGAAGTCGGTCAAAATAAGATTCGACGGCCTGAGCTTAACTCTTTGGCCGCTTCTACAGCAGATCTGCTTGAGGGTTTTCTGGGTAATGATTGACAGAGCTGAACCTGTGTCCAGCTCCATTTCTAAGGGGAACCCCTGCAGTCTGACTTCAAGCCGAAGCTTTTTCTTCAATGGGCGGTGGGCACTTGTTCTCAATATGCTCCTTCTGGTCACGCAAAAACCCACCCTATTCTGACTGGGGACCCTGGTACCTTTCCAAGGCAACTCTTCCGATGGACGGTCTTTCTTGCGATCCAAACAGATGGTGGCTATGTGGCCTTGCCGGCCACACGTCCAGCAAATAGCGGAACAAAAACAACAGTTGGTACATCCCGAAACACCGAGAGAAGGGAACTGCCTTGTCAAGGCTTTTGTCGGCTTGCCTTTGAGGCCTTCTTTCTGCTGCCTGTTGCAAATGATCAACCTTGTTGTCCAATTCTGGTTCTTCAACTCTCTCAGTGACCTCTTGATGAACAGAGTCCAAACACTGAGTGTTCTTTGAGAGCCACAAGGCCTTAACAGCTCCACCTGCTCCTTCTTCAGCCGTTATCTCCCTCAGTGCGTCTTGGAAGGAAACGGTTTCTTTGGCAAAAATCTTTTGCTGCAGCTCTTGGCTCCTCAGACCGCAAACTAACCGGTCTCATAGCTGTTCTTCCAAGTCTTTAAACTCACAATACCTTGCAGCTTGATGCAGAGCAGCAATGAAGTCTGCGGCAGACTCTCCTGGACACTGGTCCTGCTGTTCAAAAGCATGTTGCCACACTATGACCGACAGCTTTGGTTCAAAATGTTCTTTTAGCATTTTTTTAAGCTCCACATAAGCAATGGATTCCAAGGTTGCTGGAGCAACCAAGTTTTCAGTGATGTCAAAAGTCTCTTGACCACAAACACACCAGCGTCGTGGCCTTAAGGCCGTCCTCACAAACTTGGTTGACTCTGAAGTAATTTTCCACCCTGGCAATGTAGGAGCTCCAGCGTTCCGGATGCATGACGTTGAACTCAGACAAACGCCCAATCTTCGCCATGATGATTCTTGGCAGCCTCTTTCAATACCTCATGCTGCGCAGGCTTCCGAAGGGGTTCCAGGGCAGTCCTAGCCGTGCTCTCCTTCAGCGTCTTCGTACTGGCAGGCAGAAAGGAAGGAAGTTGGAAGCCAAACTTCTAAGCGCTTGCAGGCTTTCCATTGTGAAGTCAGCCTTTGAATCTTCTGCAGCACGATCCCACCTTTGTCGCAATGTTTTGTTTCTTGCGTTGGTAGGCATTGAACGAGGCACAGTAACAAACAGGTACTTCTTTATTCAGCTTCAACAGAACAACAACAAAATGGCTCTGCCCCCTTTTATACCTTTTGCAAGGGACAGCATCAGCCAATGAATGCAACGTATTTTCCCACTCCCATGCATGCTCAGTAAGCTGAAGACAGCCTGTCTGGCTCGAGCAGGTCACGTGGTCTGCCCAGGTCTTAGTGCAGCTTCCTGCACCTGCTCTGTCAATCAGAGTCCAGGATATAACATCAGCCATCATGGCTGGTTGAGGAATTCTGGGAGTTGAAGTCCACAGGTCTTAAAGTTGCTAAGTTTGTAGACCCCTGACGTAGCTGGTCGGCCCTTCTTCCTCTCTCCCTTCTGAGCTTTTTCCTCAGTGTAGTAAGAATGCATCCCCCCAATCCCTTCCTTTTACCCTTAAAGACACAAGAATCAAGTGCAAAGCAAGAAAGGCTCACAAAATAAAGAAACACATAAACTCTGGATTTTTTTTTAAGCTGCCTCAGGTGTGTCACGTGCCACAATGTTGCAACTCGAGACTGAAAGGCTCTGGCAATTACGAAAAGCTTTAACCTTAAATTAAGCTTGTTTATCTTCAAAGAAAACTTTTTAAAAGCCTTACAAAGACTCAAAATAAAGGGGTAAAACTAATTACATTTGTTTAAAGGGATTAAACCTATGGAAGTCAACACTTTGGACTCATTGCTAGCTTAAAATACAGACAAAAATATTCCAATAACCAATGCACACAAACCGAGCCTCTGAATTACAAAATACTGTAAAAACTGTACAAAAATACTTATGGAAACCCAATCAAGCTGCCAGCTGATCCAGAACTAAATATATCTACCTCCTTTCTGACATGCTCATCTGCCGGCTTTTCATTTCATCAGTGCTGATTGCATTCTCCTGGCTGGAAAAAACGAACCAGGGGACCGTTTCTTCCAGTAACAGCTGTTGCTTCTTCCCTGTCCCTGTTTCCTCCCTGCCTGCTGAGCTCTCCTTCTCTTTCCCTGTTGTATTTTTTTCTCTTTCCCACCCAAACCACCTTCTTTTATAGCCCCTCCTCCTCTCCTCCCCCCTTTTTCTTCAGTTCACCTCCAGCTCCACTCTGCTTCCAGAAACACCAATCAGCTGGAGCCCTGCTGGCTCCTGGGGCTTCTGCCAAGCCCACACAGTACTTCAGCTGCCTCTCCCTCGGGCTTGGGTCGCTTCGGCTCATTCTCCTCCCCCACTATACTTCTCTAGGACAGTCGCATACTACTTGCCATGTGGCAAAGTACTACAGGTGGCATGCATACCACCAGTTGAAAAGCCCTGTCCTAGTGGATGATCACTTGTCTATGAGCCAGCAATGTGCAGCATACGCCAAAAAAGCTAATACAATCCTGGGTTGCATAAACAGAGACATAGAATCAAGATCACATGAAGCATTAGTACCGCTTTATAAAACCCTAGTGAGACCACAACTGGAATACAGCAACCAATTTTGGTCACCAAAAAGTTCAGAGAAGAGTAACTAAGATGATCAAAGGCCTGGAGACTAAAACTTATGAAGAACAGCTGCGGGATTTGGGTTTGGCTAGTCTAAAGAAAAGAAGAGGGAGTCAAATTATTCTCCAAAGCACCAGAGGGCAGGACAAGAAACAATGGTTGGAAACTGATCAAAGAGAGAAGCAACCTGGAATCAAGGAGAAAGTTCCTAACAGTGAAGATAATTAACCAGTGGAACAGCTTGCCTTCAGAAATTGTGTGTGCTCCATCACTGGAGGTTTTTAAGAAGAGATTGGACAGTTACTTGTCTGAGATGGTACAGGTTCTCCTGCTTGAGCAGGGGCTATGAATAGAATAGAATAGAATAGAATAGAATAGAATAGAATAGAATAGAATAGAGCTGGGAGGGACCCTGGGGGTCTTCTAGTCCAGCCCCCTGCTCAAGCAGGAGAACCTACACCTACACCATCTTGGACAGATTGTCTAGTCTTCTCTTAAAAATCTCCAGTGATGGAGCACCCACGATTTCTGGGGTAAGCTGTTCCACTGGTTAATTGTCCTCGCTGTCAGGAAGTTTCTCCTTAATTCCAGATTGCTTCTCTCCTTGATCAGTTTCCAACTATTGTTTCTTGTCCTTCCCTCTGGTGCTCTGGTGAACAACCTGACCCCTTCTGCCTTGTGGCAGCCCCTCAGATACTGGAACACTGCTATCATGTCTCCCCTATTTCTTCTTTTCTTTAGACTATCCAAACCCAAGTCCCGCAGCCGTTCTTTGTATGTTTTAGTCTCCAGGCCTTTGATCATCTTAGTTGCTCTTCTCTGAATTTTTTCCAAACTCCCAACATCTTTTTTGTGATATGGTAACCAAAATTGGCTGCAGTATTCCAGGTGTGGTCTTACTAGGGCTTTGTAAAGCGGTACTAGTATTTTGCGTGATTTTGATTCTATGCCTGTTTATAAAACCCAGGATTGTATTGGCACTATGTCTTTTAATGAGTGCCATGCTGTTTCAAGAGCGGTGGCATTGCGATAGGGAAAAGCCTCCACACAGTGGGTGAGCTGGTCTCTGCAAACCAAGGCATATTGGAAACATTTGCTCTGGGTAACTGAATAAAGTCTAGTTGGAATTTTTCAAAGGGGTGTTGTACCCATAGCCTTCCTCCCTCATGGATTGCTTTCCTGGATGAAACATTGTTCGCATGGCAAGTCTGGCAACACTTAGCTATATGCTCCAGGTGTATACCAGACCCGTCTGATTGCATCTACAATAGCCTGAAATCTGCAGTGACTCTTAGAATGCAATAGCTAAAATATGATTCTGAGAAGCTGATAAGGGGCAATGGGTCTCCCATTGAGACCTTGCCAGAATCCTTTCTGAAAAGTTGCTTCATACTTTTCTACCCATTATTTGACCTGTTTCTAAGAAATCTTGGTAGGAAATCTTGCTATATGCTTTTATTGTGGGACCAATCAAGGGTGTAGGCTTGGGTTTGGCATGATCTGTTTTTAACAAACCCGTGCTGGCTGCTAGTTATGACTTCGTTTGGTTCTAGTTGTTTGCAGATCTGTTTTTTGATTATCTTTTCTAGGATCTTCGCAGGTATTGATGTTAAACTGATTGGTTTGTAGTTTCCTGGGTCCGTTTCCCCCCCCCCTTTCTTGAAGAAGGGGACCACATCAGTCCTTTTTCAGTCCTCGGGTACTTCCCCGGTGCTCCAGGATTTGTGAAAGATGTGGTACAATGGTTCTGAGATAACATCTGCCAGGTCCTTCAGAACTCTGGGATGTAAACTGTC